CGCCCAGACGAAACAGTTACAGCGTCCAGAAAGGCAATGGAGAAAATCATTCACGAACACTACTCAGATCTCTTCGATAGCCACGTCCACCTTCCGTCATTATGAAATAAAGGAGGATGGGTGCGTTGTACCACCGGTTCTCCCTTCTGAAATCCGACATTCCATTTCGTCGGTGAAAAATCTAACAGCACCAGGTCCAGAAAAGATAAGATCAGAACACCTGAGGAACCTTACGCCAGTCCTTGTAAACATACTGGCTCGGCTCTTCACACGTTACCTGTCTGAATGCAGGGTCACTACTCGGTGGAACCGGCAAGACCGTGTTATTGTTCAAGAAAGGTGACCTACACGATATCGGCAACTGTCGCCCAATCTGTTTGCTGTCTGTCGTCTACAAACTTTTCACTCGGGTCTCTTATGAAAGATTTATCTTCGACTAGATCTTACTCCTAAACAGGATTGAAAGAACACTGGACGAAGGGTATCCATGTGAGCAAGCAGAGTTTCGAAAAGGATTTAGTAGGAAGGACCACATCCACACGATAACAAGACTCACTGAAGTATCGCGAGAGTACAAGAGACCGCTCTGTCTCAATTTCAACTATTTACAGAAGTCCTTTGACTCAATTGAGATAGAAGCAGTCTTGGAAACCCTTGATAGTCAAGCAGTTCCTACTCAGTACACAAAGATTCTTCGTAACCTGCACAAAAATTTTGCAAACAAGATATCACCATTCTACAACGACATTATCATTGACGTTAAAGGAGGAGTAAGGCGAAGCGATACTATCTCGCCAAAATTATTTACCGCCACCCACCAGAACGTCATTCGAACATTAGAATGGGATGGTATGAGAGTGAAAATCAATGGTCAGTAGTTACACCATTTTCGCTTTGCTGATGATATCGTCCTTATAACATCAAATATTAACCAAGCGGAACGTATGCTTGCCGACTTTGATAAAGCCTGTGGAAAGATTGGTCTTCGACTAAATCTCTCAAAAACGGTGTTCATAAGGAAGAATTCGTTTCGTATGCCCCATTTACGCTCAACGGGACGAATGTCTCCGAATGCTGCAGTTATGTCTATCTAGGTTGGGAAATGAACATGTTGAACGACTTAACTCCAGAGTTGAGCAGAAGGAAACGAGCGGCTTAAGGAGCTTTCAAGAGCATCGAAGATGTAGTGAAGAGAACAAAGAACGTCCGACTCTGTGCCCACTTTTTCGACTCAGCGGTACTCCCTGCTCTAATGTATGCGTCAGAAACCTGGTCGCTGCGTAAGCAGGATGAATGATCACTCAGCGTTATTGAACGCGCAGTCGAAAGACGATGCTAGTATCCTGTTTCACAAAAGTAAGAGAAGGGATCCGATGCTCCCACCTGCGTTAACGATCAAAAATCAAAGATGCCGTCGTGTACACCAAACAGTCGAAGATAGGGTGGGCCGGACACGTAATGCCTATGAATGAGTACAGATGGGCAAGGGCAGTTAGTGACTGGATTCGTCGGAATGTCAAACGCCCTGCAAGAAGACCGCAGACTCCATGTTCAGAGTTTTTCATGAACAGCCTAAAAGAAAGATGTAATGCTCGACTAGTCCCTAAAGCGAGCAGAAGCCACTGGGCTACTCTTGCACGCGACAGGATAAAATGGAAAATTTACTGGCGCCCGCTCAAGTCACTCGATGATCAACGGGACTACAGGCGATACAGGTGATCAAGCGCACAGGAAAACATCACCAAGCAATGTCAGAGTTCTTCACGAGGACCGTAGAGTAAAGATATGATGCTTAATGAGTCCCTACATCGAATAGAATACACTAGGCTACCTTTGTACATGATAGAGACAGATAAACAGTTCACTGGCGCTCGCTTGAGTCACTCGATGATCAACGGGAGAGCTAATACAGGACAGGCTACTAAGAACTACGCGTTTTTTTGTTTTGATCGAATACACACGTATAGCAAATGAATTGCATGTGATAAAGTAAGCATTCGAAGCGAATATGCATTGATATCAAGGTATAGCGCTACCCGTGATTTAATGGGATGTTAAGGGAAGAGCCTCGCTTTGACGTCATGTTCCCATTACGTTTTGTTCGCTCGTATTTGCCAGTTCAAGGATCGTGTCGGTAGTGTTGGATCACCGGAAGACTGATTATTCATGTTTAGATTACCATATTAAGTAAGGCTATTCAATAACAAGACGCACCATCAGAGATAATCTAGTACGAATGACAAGGCTAGTCACAATCTGATTGCCAACGAAAACGAAAAATTGGGAAGGCAAGCGCGAGCAGCCACCTTTTTTCCTTGGTTTTCGTTCTACTTTGCTTTGATACGGACCACCTTATTTGTCTTGACATAGAAGCACACGTGATACCACATTACCTTTATTTGACTAATTGTGAATAACTTCCACTTCTCGGTTTCAGATAGCTGTGCCATATAACACCATCGTAGGAGGTGTAAATGTTCGCCGTCTTGTCAGATTGATTTCTTTTATGACAGCGGCGATTTGTTTACTTGGAGCCCTAGGCCAGCTTCGAACCCGCGATAATTCCGCATGTTTCCGCACAACACCGCCTAAATGCTTGCTTTGCTCTTCTTCATCCAGTGCTCCTCAGATCATTTCCATTGACGGATAATTGCTGATAGCACCGTTAGGGTAAGAAGCTGGGTCATAGAAAGGTAAAGCAAGGTTTCGACAGTGCAATAGATAATACGTGACTCCCGGAAAGATTAATCGCGGGTTTAAAACTGCCTGGCGTTTAGTGTTCTGAATAATATCTCAGCATCGTTGCTGTTGCCTTTCACATAAGAGTAAATTGAGAATTTCGAAATGAAGAAGTAATAGGCGGAAAATGAGAGGTTAGACATTATGATTTGGTTATTGTTTCCTAACCTTCCGGATGGAAATCTCGTACTTCTAAAATTGGTAAACCTTGCCAATGAGATGAGTACCATCGCAATTTGACATTAAGGCGTATCCTCTCGTAAGGATGAGTGCACAAATAATTAGGTTTATGAATTCGTCGTTTCCTCTCTCAGTAATCGTAAGGTTGTTAAACAGCATATGGTTACTTCCATACAATAACACACATACAGCACAACGGTAGCTGATGTCTCGGCAGAATCGCCTTCTTCAGAGCCTGGAAGGGCACACTAATAGACAACTTAGTAGTTCAAATGCTTCCACAGTACAAACAGAAGGATGAAAATCTGAACGATAATTACAAGATCCACGGCTTCTCGAAAAAGCCCACCGCTTTTCTCACCTGTTTTCCACCGAGGAAAAACAGCCGCTAAGAATCGCATATGGTTGACGACTGCACCTCCCCACATGCAGATACATAAAGGTCTACCCGCTTCGCCAATATATTCTTCTCCGCAAGTACTACAAGAGATCAGGCATATCGCACCTGAGCTCATGCAGTCACCGTCCCAGCCATAAGGGCAAATTACGCAATTCTGTTTCACAGAGACGGTCGTATAGATGGTAACGAACTAACTGGCGCCGAAGAGTATTCGGTGGTATTTCAATTATCGCTACCGATTCGTCTAGATCTTCCCTACTTAAGCATCGCTTTGTCGCTATACTTATTTCATCGCTAATGAAGGGCAAGATAAACGGGATTTTGTTAACCGTAACCGTCCGAAAACATGCGGAATTTGATGCCAGTTCCCGCACAAAAAAATACGATGGCAAACGAAAAGCGAAGCAAGGCACACCACTAGGGACGCATAAGATACAAAAGCATAGCGGAGACGATTTTGACATAGAAGTCACACTCCTCGTCCGGGATCCTAAAACACTAACGCGCAAACCCGTCGAGGCTTTTTGGATAAATCCCAAAAATCCTACAATGAATAGCAGAGAGGAATGCACCGAGATCACGCGTGATCCTGCCCCTTACCTTCGTAATGATCGTTGATGTGGGGAGGTGCAGTCGTCAACCATATGCGACTCTGAGCGGCTGTCCTTCCTCGGTGGAAAGCAGTTGAAAAAAGCGGTGGGATTTTCGAGAAGCCGGAGATATTGTAATTACTCCGTATAATGTTGACCTTTTTGGTTAAGATTATGATTATAACTATAGCCTCAACTTAACTGGGTTCAATGTCGATTTGGGCTCCCCAGATCAATCCCGTTGACGGGTGATCGCTGATGGCAAAAGATCGACAGAACTAGCTGAAAGACAGGCGAAGCGAAGGACCCGCATGGTGTGGTGGTGAGCGCTTTACTCCCCGGAAAGGGTAATAGCGCGTTCGCTCCCCACCGCAGACACTTGCGGTCCGGAGTTTTGCAAATATCTCAGCATTATACGAGTTATATTTCGCAACCTATCCTGCCATTAAAAAGAATAGGCAGTAAGTAAAAGGGTTAAGCTTGTAATTGTCGTTCAGATTTTCATCCTTCTCTTCGTACAGTGGAAACGTTTGACCTAGTAAGTTGCGTAACAGTATACCCTTCCAGACTCTGAAGAAGGCGATTCTGCCGAAACGTCAGCTACGGTTGTGTTGTATGTATGTTATTGTATGGAAGTAAGCGTGTGCTGTTTAACAACCTCGTGATTGCTGAGAGAGAAGACAACGAATTTATAATTCAGTGCCGAGGTTAATAGGAAGTCGATCCTAGGCACTATAACTAGGTCTAGTTTTTTTCGCCAAAAAAGGATTAGACATCTGCTCTACTTTTGTACCCAAACGGAAAGAACCATCGACCTTTTCCTTCTTATTAGAAGCCACTACTGACCTTTTACTTCTTATTAAAACCTACCTCTTACATTTTATCTTTTGTAATACAATTCCTCATCGAATAATTCCAGTGAACACCTGTAAACTCTCCAGTCGTCTCTGTCACTAGGTAGTACTTCTCTTCAGGCACCACTCGTTCCGCGTACACGGGGACCATCTGTTCATTTTCACTGTACTTGGGCACATAGTACTCAAGTACTCACTGATGGCCAGAGCTGTGCCGTGGCATAGGCTTGCTATGTTCTGAGGTTTTCTGTGGAAATATCGAACACTTTCTCATCAACGGTAACTCCATCGAGGCCAGAATCGGTGCAGCACAGTATTCCACATTGCAGCTCAACACGGAGAGAACCGCGCTTAACACAGTGCGTAAAGAAACACACATCATAAATGACTTCGCGGTTGTCTTTGTAAAATATGGAAGTACATAACTGTAATAAACATGAATATCAATGAGATTTAGGTGAACGTTTCATCTTGTCGTGCACATCAAAGGGAATCGCGATTGACAAGACCGGCACCGTACCACTATGTTCATCATGCTGGATTTGGAGACGCTTACCGAGCAACTATTCACCACAGTATATTAACGAACTGCTGTGTGATACAGCGGATGCCACCTGTCTGAGCGGTAAATCTGCATTGTTCTCTACCAAATGTGGAATTGTGGTTTGTTCATTAGCAGTAGAAAACGAGCAGGTCTTCTCATCCTGCTGAACAGTACTATATAGTATGCTGAACATTATAGTAGTACCTTATGAACGTTACTATTTTAATGTTCCTCCTCAAAATACATTCCACCATTCTGTTCTAGGATACGCCTCATGTGCTGTTGGTCATCACGCTATCGAAGTGATACGGAATGATAACGGTACAATGACAACCGTAGTACTCAGTGCCGGCTCATATTGTGAATGTAGAGCAGCGGTAAGTCTATGGATTACACCGATAGACTGTATCAGCAAACACACCACCATAGTCAGTACTACTGATTTTGCTCTCAGACTTACTAATTTAGCCTTTCGTCTCATATAAACTTTAATTCATTGGAATTATAAAGATTCTTAGTACACAACTATTTCAAGCTTTTTTGCTCTGCTAACAATGATTTTTAGCCGAACTCAGCAATACAGTCGCTCATTACCGGTTCCGGATTCGGAGGCCCGCTCCCTCCACTAACATCTTCTTCCACTACGGCGTTAATAACATGAACAACAATTAGTTAACGAAAGCACACTTGTAGACGTTATTACCATTGTATACCTCACATAGATATTTCACTATTCTCTCGTGTAAAGTCTAGTAATTTCACGGTTTTTCGAATAAAATCTTTATTTATGAAAGTAATCAAACAATACTCGTTCCTTAGAATGAGGTCTTTTCCGTAGAATCACAAATAAGGAGAACATGGACAAGGAAAACATAACGGCCATAAGTTCAATGCACGTATAATATGAAACACCGAAACTTCTACAGTTCTCTTAGGATATTTCAGAGAAACGCAATGGAAGCATTTTCGTTTGTGGAAGAGTTTACTAACAATCGACAGCACTCGGAAGATCGTCTCGAGATATAAATTGAATAAGTGTTGGATGATAACATATGCACTGTGTTACTGTATTACTGTATTACTACATATATTCAACCTAAATTCGTCAAAACTCGAAACAGCACCTTATATAACAACTTACATATAAACAAACATTGTAGATAACGTTCTCCACAAAATAAAGAATGTTGCCTATCAATACTCAAACAAATTCAGAGGTGCTCTCTGTAGAAGTTAAGGCATCGCTTCCACTTGTACGTTCTCTATAAGCTATTGCTTCTCTTTCACAAGAGTTTCTGTACCAGTTTGTTCGTATAACCGTCAGACGAACGTTCTGCTCAATCAGCTCAATCAGATTGTACTAACTAAAAAAAACCTAGAATCTCCCTTGACCGTTAATTCTCTCTCCGTCAAACCAGTCCTCCGTTTTCGTCTTAGCGTTTGTATTCTTTACCTTTCTGGCTACCGTCACATCGTTAATATTCTGTTGCTATTACTGCTGTAAACGGTTATAACCCATTATCACAAGTATCACAAGATTTGCAATGTAGAAGCATCAAGAAGCACGTCTCGCGCTGAAAATTAGTCAGATCTGAAAACTGACTCAGACTAGTGTTCTTTCATAGATAAATTAACACGATACTGATAAACAAGTTTATTCGGGTTACGTTTCGGCAATTACACCTTCCTCAGAGAGACGAGCAGAGTCTCACTCGTAACAGCACGGCTATGAGGAAGGCGAAATCGCCGAAACGTCAGCCATCAACCAACGACAGCAGCAACAACGACGACAACAACAGCAAACAACAACGACAACGAAAACCTATACCAACCTCGCATCAGGTCAACAAGATAGGTTTATACGTTCATATAAATATGTCAGATAATAATTTGATGGCCTTCCGCGTTCCACGGTTGCAGTGGCACTTTTTGTGATGCATATTCTTGTACATTATTGGAATCGAATGTGCTTAGGCGTAACATTTCTTCCAATGTGAGCAAATGAAGTTCTTCGGTGAATTTTTCCTCTCTAAGTGATAATTCTTCTTCAGTACGCAACATGGCGAAAGCTTTTGTAAATGTTTCGTTGTTGGAACCGTTACAGTCATTTCACCTGTGGACACGAAGGCTGACTGTATTGGTTTGTAAAATCGTCGTTTTCTTTCTCAGCAATCACGAGGCTGCTAAACAGCATATGTTTGCTTCCATACAATAACACACATACATCGCAACCGTAGCTGACGTCTCGGCAGAGTCGCCTTCTTCAGAGCCGCTTTTCTCACCTGTCTTCCACCGAGGAAAAACAACCGCTCAGAGTCGCAAATGCTTGCATTGGTTTGCTTAATAAAATCAAAGGATTTTGTTCAACTCGCATCTTTTGCCCGTCTCGATTCGTTTTAGAAGTAGAAATGAGCACCTTACGTTCTTTTTCTTCATCTTTGCTGCTCTTAAAGTCGCTTCTGCGGTACGCACTTTTTGTTAGGGATATCTTTTCCTTTGTTGCTGAGTAGAAACAGTATGCGTGTTTACGTTTCTGGCACTTGCACACGAAAATCCGTTGCACTGTAGTGCATTGTGTAATGAGAATGCACATATATGTCAGAGCACATTATCTTCGAGGTATTGGTACCTCTCTATTGGTATGTTTTGTACTCATTGCAGTAGAATGGCTTGTGGTTGCCGTTGCAGCAGATGCAAGAAGCGTTATTGGCTGCAACTTCCAACATTGGACTTTGCTGTAACGGCTGGTTGGGTTAACAGGAGCTGATGATCTAGTCTGGCGCGATATCAATTCCTCATCGGTGATAACGTCTTCAAAATGTTTTAGGAGCTGGTGCATATTGAAGCATTTCCCGGGCGAACTGACCTTTTTTGAGTACTTTGCGTTGGATGTCGACAGGAAATTTCGACAGTATCGTTTTCAGAGGCACTGAATGTTAACATTTCCTCCTTTTGGATAAGTTGGGTTCCGACTGCTTCTATTTCCTTCACTAGCATACGTTGCTCATGCATGGCTGGTGATCGAAGGGAGGTTTCGTCGAGTTTTTCAAGAAGTTGACGAATGAGTTCCTTGGAATCTCCATAAATTTTGATGAGAAATTCGGCGTCTCCTCTTAAACAATTGAACAATAAGTTAAATTTTTGCATCTCGAAGAGGTTCTGAGAATAAGCATTTGAGTTTAAAAGCTCTCAGGAGTCGTCTCAGTTCCGTATGTCACCGTTGAATGTTGTGATGGTAATTGAAGTTAGCTCCAAATTCTTCACCACAGGACTATTGCTGTACGCGTCGTGTGCACTGTTTGATGCGCGGAGTTTTTATGATGTGAATGAGCGCTCAGCATAAAGGCATTAATGCGAGTATAGAAAACTGTGATATATTCCGACACACTTGCAAGTGTTTCTTATGCAGTACTCGAATATTATTCTAGGTTTTCTTTATCATTTGCTAGTGTTAAGTGTGATTGCTTCACTTCTGTTGTAAATTCGTGCCACACATGTTCACCATTTGCCGCTAGTTTTTCGAGGGCTCCTACCCTTCCAGTTGTTGGTATAGCAACTATTCCCCAATTAATGCGTAGTTTCCTTGTTTAGCAATCGTGAGGTTGTTATACAGCACACGCTTACTTCCATACAAAAAAAAACATACAACAGTAGCTGGCCCCTTCTTCAGAGCCTGAAAAGGTACATTAATACGTAACTTGGTAGGTCAAACGCTTCCACAGCACAAACAGAAGGATGAAAATCTGAACGATAATTACAATACCTTCGGCTCCTCGAAAAATCGACCGCTATTTTCACCCACCTTTCACCGAGGAAGAACAGCCACTCAGAGTCGCATAAGACTGACGACTGCACCACGCCCTCAACAATCGAATCTTTCTCCTAATCCAAAATTTCCGATCCTATACTCGCTCTCGTTGGCCTTTCCTATTTTGGCTTTGAAGTCTCCAACAACAAATTTATGATATGCTTTATCATTGCAGATAACTTCTTCCAACTGATAGTAGAGAACGCATCTAATTCGTACTCATCAGCTGCGTCGGTCGGAGAGTAGCAGTTGAAGGTGGTGATATGGTGATCTTCTTATGACACAACAGTTGAATACAGAAGACGGCTATGCGAGGGGAAAGGATCACGTATGAGTAGACGAAATGGAAAATGGACAGGTGGACGACAAAGCCTACGCCACCTACATTTCCTGACGGGACTTTTTCTCCACGGAACACTAGGGTTCCGTTGCTTAATCGGCGTGTCATTACTCTCGATTTTTGTTTCTTGTAGTGCGACCACATAAAACGATGCGGTCAGCGGCTACAAGAAGGGTGTGAGAATCTGTGGAGTGTTCTGGCATTATACGTGCATGCAAAGAAACAATCACCATGGCGTGTCGTGCGTGTGTTCGTCAGATCCGGTTCCAATGACGTCCTGCGTAACCAGAGATTTTCTGCCCTCTCAACGGTCGTCTCCCCACCTGACGTCACAGACGGAAGCACCCAGTCTGCGCGGTACTGAGGCTGGCCTATTGCTGGTTGTGCAACTTGGTCCTCTCTGGAGGTCTCGGATTTAACCTTGCAAGGGCGTATCCAGGTCTTCACCATGAAGTGTATCCGAGGGGGGTATGTTTTCGGTGACGAATCGCTCGCTCGGTCTTCCTCAAACCTTTCGACACTGTAATTAAACAGACGGTGCTTACGACTAACAAAGTGAATCGGACAATGTCTCATGTCTCCCGTAAACAAGACCACACAAGCACTGTAAAACGCAGTCTGAACAGCAATCACGGAAGAAGACTTTGGACATTTGTCATCAGAATATCACAAATCTAGTGGATTAAACAAACAAGAAAAACAACAGCAGAACATGGCAATCTAGGAACTGTTCCTAAAAACGATAGAGAAATGACAAGACGGATGCTACGTGCGCATTCCGCGGAGAAAGTCAAGTATTTATTCTCAAATCCTCTTCGAGATAAAGAAATTTGACTATTTGCTTAGGTGTTTAAAAGGAGAACCTCTAAAATCGTTAAAGAAATTCTAACTCACTCCACAAAACTAGGCAAAGGCCATCGAATTTCTCATCAAAAATTATGGAGATTTCAAGGAACTCATTCGTCAACATCTCGAAAAACTCGACGAAACCTCCCTTCGATCACCAGCCATGCATGAGTAACGCATGCTAGTGAAGGAAATAGAAGCAGTTAGAACCCAACCTATCCAAAAAGTGGAAATGTTAACAATCAGTGTGTTGGGACGGCTCGTTGATATAGGAATACCAAGTAGTTAGGAGAATTCGGTCGGAATTAGTTGCTCGCCTTTGTGTACGCCACGCGGGACTTCTTGTGATTAGCAGTCACAATGCCGGACACCTCAAACTTGGGTAATTAAACCGTTTATTATAATTATACAACAATCATAACAATACAACTCTACAATTAATGCAACAATGATACGGGTAATGAATAGACGCAGCCTGATCACTGGTGTTCAGGTTGCTTATGAGTGAATAGATTGGCGTAACACTTTTCTATATGAGATGGATGTGACGCACGAATGCGGTGACTTGGGCAGCATTGCTGTGACATGAGCTAGCTAACCGTGGAGCCGTTTATATACCTTTGCGCTGGGCGGAGTCAGATTACAGTAGGTGGAGTTGGGCTACAGTAGGCAGAAAGACGGGTGCTGGAAACATTTCACAAGCCTTGCGATCTGATAGGGCGATATTCAAAGCCTAGGACCGTAAGTGCAAATATTTTACGAGATAGGCGCCAGCGAAATGTTAGACATACGGCTATCAGATCGTCATAGAGAAATGGTCATGGGGGAAGCATTTGAAATGCTTGGAAAGGCTATAATTGATTTACATAGAGAACATTCCAATATTCGTGAAGAATGTTCTCTATACAGTGCCTCTGAAAACGATACTGTCGAAATTTCCTGCCGACATCCAACGCACAGTACTCAAGAAAAGCTCAGTTCGCCCGGGAAACACTTCAACATGCACCAACTCCTAAAACACTTTGAAGACGTTATCACCGATGAGGAATTGATATCGCGCCAGACTAGATCATCAGCTCCTGTTAACCCAACCAGCAGTTACAACAAAGTCTAATATTGGAAGTTGCAGCCAATAACGCTTCCTGCATATAACGCAAAGGCAACCACAAGCCATTCTACTGCAGTGAATACAAAACACCTCAAGAAAGGTACCAGTACCTCGAACATAATGGGCTATGACATATATGTGCATTCTCATTCTAAAATCCACTTCAGTGCAATATCGTCGTGTACAAAAGTGCCAGGTATGAAAGCACACTTCATGCTGTTTCTATTCAGCAACAAAAGAAAAGACATCCCTGACATCCTCAATGAATGCGGACCGCAAAAACGACGTTAAGAACAACGATGAAGAAAAAGAACGTAAGGTGCTCATTTCTACTTCTAACATGAATCAAATCAGGCAAAAGACACGAGTTGAACAAAATCCTCTGAATGTGTCGTTTCCTTGTTCAGCAATCGCGAGGTTTTTAGTCGTCAACCACATGCGACTATAATCAGCTGTTCTAAACTTCCTCATTGGAAGTCACGAAAAAGCGGCTCTGAAGAAGGCGATACTGCCGAAACGTCAGCTAGCGTTGTATTGTATTGTGTTCTTATGGAAGTAAATGTATGCTGTTTAAAAACCTCGCGATTGCTGAACAAGAAAACGACACATTCATATTCCAATGCCGAGGTTAAGAGAAAGTCGATCCTGGGAACTATTACAAAATCCTCCGATTTTATTAAGCAAACCAATACTGACAACTTTCGTGTACCACGGGTGAAATGACTGTAATGGATCCAACAACGAAACAATTACAAAAAGTTTCCGTCATGTTGCATACTGGAGAAGAATTATCGTCTAGTGACTAAAAACTCGCGAAAGAATTTCATCTACCCCATAACGGAAGAAATCAAATTACGTCTAAACACATTCGTTTCTAATAATGCAGAAGAATATATATCATGAAAAGTCTCGCTTCAAACATGAGACGCGGGTGGTCATCAAATATCATTATTACTATTTACGTACACTGCTATAACAAGACGTTCGAAACACCACCGTTCTGTCTGCAAGACACAGACTTGACTCGAAAGAAGGACATCCAGACCAATATTAACCAAAATATGTCCACGGTTCAACCTTCCATCTTACTCGGATGCAACCAACTATGGACCCTAATAAGCGATAAATCAGAAATTGAACTGCCACTCGGACTGCAGCTTCTTCCAAGGCGTTTAAGACACTTATGTGTAGTGAAACGTAAAAATCTGCCACAGTTTCAACAAAAATAAGACATAATATTACAAGTACAGCTAAACTAAGAAAGCAATGCATTGTAGACACAACAAAATAATAATGAAATAAGCAAGTGGTATCAACACTGAAAACACAAGTGAATACTGCTCTCGTCAAAGTCGTGGAAACAGAAAACAGCGACACCCAATTATAGGAAACAAAAAGAGACCATCAATTTGACTCGAGAACACAACATATGATCCAACGCGCAAATGGAGGACATACGCTCAGAAAGATTCGTAGAACTATGAGATACCTACGAGCAGTCACTAAAGGATTTCTGCACTTATGAATTATCATGAGTTTGTGGAATCTAGATTTGCAGGATGTCAGGAGGAAAGCCCAGTGATCTACAAAGCATTTCAAAACAATATAAAACAAAGATGCAGTGATGGACTGCTCGTTAAATAACCTTGAACATTGGACAGGCCTGCTGGGAGACAGTAGTGCCAAAGATCAAACAGTGGTAAAGTGTGAAGGTGAAATAACCGACAGAAAAGATTCTGAATTCGTGCATGATGTTAAGAATACTGAAAACAGTAAAAATGAGAACCTTAAGAAACACAATTTTACTTCACCAGGAGAAACTATGTTGGAACACTATAAGCAACAGTCAACATAATCAACAGGTATACGCAATTTCGATGGTGTATAGACAGATACCTCGAGTATCCAAATTGTTATCGGAAAGCAAGGCCAGATTTGTAGAGTGAAAGCGATCTGGATGATGAATGAGTTTTTAGCTCTACCATATTTTCCTAGGGCCAGATGTTTTGCACATAGCAGACTTATTTCTAAAACCCTAAAAACACTAATAGCTGTCGTAATAGGTAGTAAATAAAAAGTTAAAACTAATAGCTGTATTAATACCACTATTCGCACAAACCTAGGCCTTCAGCAGCTCTACTACTAAATCTTTCGTCGGCTAATCTTTTGCATGCTGGGGTGTCTTTTCGCCGAATCCTATATGTAAAACTTACTTCTCCACGCACATAAAGAATCTGTGAACAATTGCGAACGATGCAATAACCTCTTGTATGGCACAAAGACCAATATAACCATCACCAACGCCATCATCCATTTATTCTTTAGACGGGAGGGGTATATAGAACATTCTCTACAAAATAACCAGTTCCTACCACTTTTCAGTCAAATTCACATGAATTTCCCGTACAAGTTATGTCACCAGTGGGCCATGAACCAGTATTAAGGAAGCTCCATGGACATTTTTGTCTCACATGCTTCAATGCACCTACCGTGGTACACTTTGAAGCAACTCCAACAGATTGTACTAACTCGGAAACATTCTGGAATCTCTTTTTGAACATTAAGTTTCCTCCGGAAAAGCTCTGTCTATTGCAGGAGAAATATAAACAGAACCACTTATCATTCGGTTCGCCCGAATAGTGCTCTTACAGCTCCCACCTCTTCCTTGCTTTCTTCTTTCACTGATAAGTGATATTTATCTTCTTGTTTGTTTTTTGTTTTTTCTTTATTTGACAAAATAAGAAAATTAGATTAAAAAATAGAATGAATTTTAAAGAATAAAAATAGAAGAAATTAGAATGGGAGTGCTGATTGCTGAGACCTTCACTAATATAAACAGTTTTAACAATAATAATACGTTATGCTTGTTCTACTTCAGTACCGCGGCCTCAGTTATTCCTTACACCATCCTACACTTGCACTACGTTGTTATTTTTGCACAGTTTAGTGTTTGATAAACGTATAATTATCAAACTCTTAAGTGCACGATGTGAAGCTAACAATCAAGAAAAATGCGTGGCAAAGAGCGAGTAAACACTAGTAGACATAAGCTATCAAACTTCCATCATGTACCGTCTTGTCCGATGGAAAAAATAAATTCCAAGAATATCCATACAGGACCCAACGCTGTGATCTCGTGTGGTCTCTACAGTCTACAGTTCTAATGATAAGTACATTAATACTGTGATTCCTATTTTTCGACTCTCACTTACGGCTCCTTAAATGTTAAGGGATACCACTTATATAATAAAGGTCTTCCAACTAGTTGACATCACAACAGACTAACCTCCGAGAGTCGAGATACGTAAAAACGACTAGTCAAAAAACTATTCCTTGCCCTACACTACCTTAATATTCATTTTGTCAACTAGTAGATCTACTACTAAGTTACTAAAATAAGCTTGATGAACTGGATTGGAAAGCACTCATTGAAAAGTCACAAAGTGGCGGCGTAAATAAATGATAACCGAAACCAATATACCATTGCTTTATTGCTTCACGTGTTTTTCTTCTCATTTTTGAACCATTTTCTTCCTCGCTTTCGTCAAATCAATTTCTTCAGTTTTCGTTTCATGCACTAAATTGAGCTCCATGGTTTCACCGTCTAGGTCGTCTAGATCATTCAAAAGATCAGCAACTTCAACTAGTTCACGCTGAAAGTACGTAAAATGCCTTGTTGAAATGTTCCAACGGCTTGCAACTTGGTTCAATCGTAAGAACAATTAGAACAAACAAAGATACCTTTCTATTACTAACAACACAGGGAACTGTGCTTGCACTAGGTACACTTTCTATGAGATTCGTATCCATCTGGTTAACAATCGACTCCACCTGGTCTTCCAGTTTATCGTCAGTGGCCTCATCCAACTCGTATATAGTATTAGCAACCAAAGGATTCTGCTGAATTAAAAAAATCTGCATTAAACGAAAAAATCTTTTCGTGCCATACAGCTAAACCATTACATTAATTATCATGCTTGGTTGTTCAGATTGCAAGACCTCTTCATCGAGTTCAACTGCTGGTGCTACTAATTCATTTGGCTGAAATTGGACGACTTCATATGACATTGGAGCCGATTTTTACAGTTGAAGAGTACATGAATATTCGACAATATGTGGGGATTTTTTCTTAAACAAGAAGGCTGAACACATGCTATTGGTGTATTTTCATCTTACAAAAACGTATGTTCCAAAAACTGTACCAATTATATGAAAACCTTTACTAAAGAGGATTGCAGAAACCACATGAAACCAAACCACGAATCAGCAATACCATGTAACCCTTATTCCTTTAACCTCTATAGTACCAATGTGGGTTAGAGTTAGCAATTGCAGATGAGAACGTTTTTGCACTGGTTTCACAGTACTCATATAATTAGCTAACTAGGTAAGATCTATAAACCAACTTATTAAGTTAAACCTTTAGAAAAATGAATCCAAATCGCAATCAAGGAAAGTACCACAGCTCCTGTTTTCAACGAAAAAATTTGTCCGCAAGGCAAAATTAAGGCAAATTTTGAGGTGTTAAAAATCGACCTACCTGCGCTTCTTTGGTGGTAAGCAATTGCGTATTAACTGTGAGTTCAAAGCCAGCTGGTTTCTGATAACTGGCACGCTTCTTCACATCGTCAAGAATTACTGTAGAAATTAACTCGGACAGATCAACTGCACGTTGCATAGCACGCTTCACACATGCTTCTATCTAGAAAATGAACATTTCTTACGACGGTAAAACAGAAACATCCCACAAAGAAATCGATTGATTATCTTTGAAATTAGAAGTAATTCATGGAAACAAGAGAACCACTGAAGATTCTAACAACATCTAAATGTGTCATGATTCCAAATATGACTTAGAAATATAACATCACACTAATAAGAAGCTTATCAGCTATATTTTTTTAACTCGATGGTTCTGTGAGAATTTCCACAGACTCATCGATATCAAAGATTCTGAGACACTAAAATGTACTTACATCAACCACCCAATGATGATGGGTTAAAGTGCAAAGAGCAAAATTAAATGATGTAAGCGGTGGCAATCAGTACAAGGAAGAGGCTGCCTCGACCACTCACCAGGTCCACCAAGCCTCTTATCTTGCTGGGGTTAGAAAATCACTACCAAACTTGTCTGGAATCAACTCTCCTTCCAATCCATAAAAGCTGGCGATTGCCTGTGATAAGAATATGGGAACGTCCTAGTACGGCTATCCCGAAATTCTACGCAGAATCGACTCGAGCAGTATACAACGACAATTATTAGAAAAGCATCAAAAGTACTCAAGGAGTAGCCGAACAAGAATGCAAATACGAAAGGCTCCGTGGATGATGGATGTGTACACGAGGAGACGAATCAGATTAAAGAAGTGCTGAGAAAGACAACAAGTAATACTAGTTGGTGTAAAAAAGTTGTACAAAGCCTGGTATAGTTAAGATAATTGTGGCGCTCATCAAATTGTGTGTACACAAGCTTGTTGTTACAAGCTACACAAGCCATTGCAATCAACATATCCTCAGAAAAAGTTGTAACACTGTACGATGATTTGTTTTCTAAACGTATTAAGCTGTCTAAAGAATGTCCGTTTGCTCAAGTCAAAATCGAACTGTCGCATAGTACTTTTAATGAATAACATCTTAATGATATTATGACCTATGTATACCACACTCTGATTCCGCTTCACGCTTTGCAGGAACTATTCAAATTTTTATTTGCTGCATATTATTTTTTATGGCAAAGTATGAAAAAGTAGACAAAAAAGATAAGGAATGACAGATAGTAAATAAAAATATATACTGTGATCTCAAGTGTACCCTCAGTTTAACTGGGTTCAGTGCCGAGTTGCACTCCCCAGACCATTCCCGTTGAAGGGTGACTGCTGATGGCACCGTTAGGGTTTAAAAAAAACTGGCTGAAAGAAGCGTAAAGCAATGGATTCAGTGGTTTAGTGGGTTAGACGTGAGCCCTTAGAAAGCGTAATTGCAGGTTCGAGTTTGGCCTGGGGTCTGAGTCATGCAAATATCTTAGCATTATTATGGTTTCAACTTTTACGGTAATCAATCTTCAAATTAGAATATAACGCGAGCAGTATTTTTGCACGTTTACAATGAAGATTTGCCGGTCATGACCTTTTGTCATCAACCACAACTATTCGAAACAAAGACTGCAGCAGATTAAAATGTGACCATTCCAAAGTTTAGCGGAGAAGGACAGAAAAAGCTTTATCTGTAAATAAAACGATAGAATAATTCCCTACATGGTTGAGCTAACAAGAGGTTGGATATAGCTTCTTAACTCAGTTAACGCTTCGGCGTTTTCGCTCTCTGTAGAGCCGCGTTGATCCTATTCGATGCTCCAAAGTTGGTCGTTGTCGCATGAAGTCGAATCCAGTGGCGGAACCGGTCGAATAGTTGACTTCTTACCTACTTGATACTTGAACGACCCGTCATCACTAGTTGTGCAGGGCCCAGCATAATCACCATTTTTCGGAGAGTTGCTGGTTAAACCATTGTGGTTCCGGAATCCTGAGGATACCTTGGCCAAAGTCTGCCCTAGGTTGTCACCACGACAGGCAGGCGCAGCCTTTGTGGACTTGTGGACTGGAGGAAATTTGTTACCATGCGACTACTTTGATACAAGGACGTGGGAGATTCTGGTACTGCTTTACTCTTAGCTGGAGTTCCTAGTGGAAACGACAGACTCTTTCTCAGCTTGGGAGGCTGTGCCAGGAGGCTGAATCTTCCTGCTGTAAATCTCAGCCCCACAACCAGGTACACCTCCCATCTACGATTAGGCGATAGACCGTTGGTAGGATAGTTGACTTCAATCACTTCAAAGTAGACTACATTGGAACCGGGAATCAATCAACACCCGTCCTGTATAAAAGGGTACCGCTGAGCGGAGCTAACCATAGGAGCGGTACTCCCTCCACTAGATTGGACTCTATGCAACAATGAGCACCCACAATGCGACAACCACCAGTTGCAGACCACCGACTTGGACCAACGCGGCTCTGAGAAGGCGAAAGCACCGATGCGTTAGGGGAATAAAGGTTTTATACCAATATCGTGTTAGCTCGATCACGCAAAGAATTATTAACTATTGTTACAAATGTTCAATGAAAATCGGTTTCCAAGATACTAAAACAACAGAATTGAAACAAAGGACACAAGGTAAATGGAAACGCGAAAAAAAACCCACTGAGGGGTGTTCCTGGGTATTGGACTGCGACGTACGCCGAGGGATTCATCCCTCCAGAGGGGTCTCCCATGCTCAAAAAAAGACCGGCGTTTCCATCAGGAAGCCCAGCTAACAGTAAACCAATACCAGGATCCACTACTGTCCTGGTATCAAACTAGTCGCATGGTGGCAAATCCCCCTCTGATCCTCAAGGGCGGCGGCTGCCTGTAGTGGTAAAAAAACACAATGGCTAAACCAGCAAAATTCCGAAAAATCGAGAATATGCTGCGTACCGCACAACCAGAGGACGGTCCAATTATCCAAGTAAGTAATAAATACGATCTATTGATTAATCTCATAATAAAATGTATCTAAAACTGGATTCTCATTGGCAAAGGACCATGTTCAGACAACAGACGATACGTTTAGACAAACAAGAACAGAAACACACTCCGGAATCAACCTTGCATCAAAAGAAGGGTAACACGATACCTTTGTGTTCCGCAGACAAACTCATCCACTGCAAATTCTCGAATTCTATTGAAATGACGACTATTACAGAGTTATTTTCAGACAAAGACAATGCGCAAACACATGCAGCACAAGAAAACGAATATAAAGCAGCTAAGCAATTTTTAAAAACGGAAGACTCTGGTCTCCAGAATATATTGTTTTACAGGACTCATCTTCACATCTGCTGTGCTGATCCCAGCAATCGTTCATTTGATTTGCTTCCAATGCATGTTCAACGAAGGTCTTCGAACTTTTCGCGCGTGGGTCGAACTGCTGCTTACGGATTGCCGCCTTCTTTATGAATATCGTTGAATGGTGGTCGATTCTGTCCTCCGTGGAGTCCTGAGAGAGTCCAACCAGGGCGTCCCCACTTAGATTGCGGAGATTGAGCTGTTCCCGGGCAAGCCCGGTAGCAATTTCCCGATCTCGGAGAGATGAGAGGGTGGTCAGTTCTGGGCGATGTCGAAACAGTACAGTGCTCATGATGAACGACATCACTACTACTGAATTGCCTGCCAGTACTCGCGCTGCAGAATTACAGAACTTGCGACGATATGTGCAGACTTCCACGTGTTTGGTAAAGAAACGCAGCTTTGCAATCTTCATTGAAGATAATAAAAATTACTACGGGTGACATACGTACAACTGAAGGTCAATTTAAAAGCTACGTTCATAATCCAGGAAACTTAATAAGACGAAATTAATTTCTCCGCTAACTAAAAGATTAAAAAAGATTAAAAGATTAAAAAAGATTAAAAGATTAAAAAGAATGAAGTAGCGGTATTCACTAAAGGTTTTCTAAGACAATTTTTATCTACAACAATGCAGAGATAATTGCAAAACTCCAGACCGCAGGTGTCTGCGGTAGGGAACGAACACGCTATTACTCATGCCGGAGGCTAACGCTCTCACCGCCACACCATGCGGCTCCTTCGCTTCGCCTGTTTCTTAGCTATTTCTATCGATCAGCGCCAACAGGAATCACTCTTTATCCAGTTGACTTAACACCTATTAGTTCATCAATGCTCCAATTTGTTATGAACTCAGACGATATTACAACGCTATCCCAGTGTAGTGTACATATAGCACATAATATACTAGTTAATATCAATTACTGTATATAGCACTTACCGTAGCCGTAGTTAAAATCAAAGTCGTTGACTGATGAAGAGCGCAAACCTCACGACGCTTGTTGCAAGCAATCACTAAACATCCATAAAGACACTGGGATTCCTTATCAGTCGGATCGATGACGACGTGAGTCCTAAACAGACAAGGCGAAGAATGAATGAAGACTTTTACGACAAACGCACCATGGCTTGAAGCAACCGTAATAAAGTAATCAATTTGAAGTACGACCAAACTCAACTAATTCTTATTCCAGTTAGCCATAATAGAAAACATATAAGTGTAAATGTATTCGCCACAATAACACTTCAAAAATTGATCCACTACCTAGTTCCTACATAGTTGAGTCACATTTAAATAGTCAAAACAAATCAGGATAATTTTAAAACCGACCGTCATTTAACCTCGGTTAATAATCTTCATCAGAGCCGATTTGAACGATCTGAACATCAGGCTCGCATCATCAGCTCTGATGAAGACCAAGACGACGAAACGTCAGCCGAAATGAATTTCTTCATTAACCTCGTGTAAGCTTAGCAATTTAAATACAAATCAGGATACTTAAAAATGTAACAGCAAGCTATTAAAATTATAAAAAAATCGACTCGGTTGCATAAATTGTTCCATCCGAATAATAAGCAAACGACTGTTTATTTTCTCAAAGTTCACGCAGAACGGAACGAACCCGCATTTTGTAAATCCAAAAGAAACGCAAATTGGCATATGGTAGATGTTGAGTGGAACGAACGCTTGTTCGTACTCAGAATGCTGGAAAAGAATAATAAGTTATCGATTACGGCTTTAAATAGTAGAGATCTATTTTACAAACCTACGACGACGTCGAATTTTCGTCGACTTTACGCACTGCACGGTAACTAATGGATTTAAGCAGTTGAAAACTTCACAAACTTACAAGTGGATTTCGAAATTTTGTCTTAGTTGTACAGATAAATTTTCGCAAGTATTATTCGTTTTTTTTCGTTTTCATTAGTTTTGGGCGAGTGTAGTGTGGTGGTACGAGACACCCTAACACACACTTTGGATCGATGCCCACGTCCAAGGCTCACCAAGCTTTCCATCCCTCCGGGGTCGGCGAGTTGGTACCAGAGGATAGCAGCACTAGCTCGATACATTAGGACGCCATGGCGAGTCCTTATAAAGGTCAGATATGCATTCAATCACCACCAAACGATCCTTAATGAAATCAAATGCATGGCGCATCCTTCCAGGACTGATCAAGGCCGAGAGCTTTAACCTCTTATTTTTTTTACTATTTTAGTTTTAAAACTCGTCTGAGACTGAAATTAACAAAAATTAAAAGTGAAATATAAATTTCTGGATTCTTAACACGTCTGCAGAAGCTGAAAAAATCAGCGAAATATTTGGAGCTACTATTATGTAATGTTGGTCAAAACTTTACTTGTTAAATCTAAACCGTTGACGCCTTACATATTTCAACCTCACAAGGAAAACACTGGAAAATCCACTTCCTTTGAGCAGCGATAAACCAGGATTTCACCGCTTTATAATAAGAAAATGCTGACACAGATTTTGATTTTCATTTCAGATAATGAATCTCACTATGAGCAAAGACGTGCCACCTTAAATTTAGGACTCACGATTATTCTCGGAAACTAATCGACTCTAGATGATTCATGCCGGTACAAAGGTGTAAATAGTGGAAGAATTGCAGAAACCTACAATTAAGGTGTGATTAGGACGAACAGTGACGTTTGGACGGCGAAAGTGATAGAGAGCAGTGACGGCAGCGATTGAGGCACAGTCCAACAACGAACCATCGTCATCCAGAATACGTACATCTACTTTTAGCTTCCACACTTCCTTATGTGATCTTACACAAAGCGACTGAAAATTATACTCATCTAAAATATCCGTTCACCGAGATACTACTTTCAAATAGACCTAAGTATGATAATGTAAAATTATACAACCTCAACATCAATGCAACGAGAGTCTCTAAGCACCAATTCGAGCATTCGGGTCAATTCCAAACCACGTTCACCCAAGCGATTATGTTCATTTGCTAAAACGGAACCATTTACCAGCAAAAATAAAGCAAAATATTGAGTATCTCACAAAAACTGCACCTGGATTACTCATTGGACTCATATCTACGTCGACTGTGACTAGGCCTTTACTCGGCCGAGCAGTCCTTGGTTCTGCCAATGAGATACTCACAACGCATAGCACTCTTTAAATAATGCCTCTAAATCTTTACCAACAACTTGTTCTTGCTAAAAACTAAATGTCAGGTTGAAAAACTACAAACACAACAACTTACTTGGTGTCTCCCATAGTACACAAAGCCGTTCCAAAATCAGAACCAACAACAAGCTTAACTTGACGAAAATCATTCAATGTGCGACCGTCCAGGCGCTGAAAACTTCTGAGCAGTTACATGAAAACGTTGGCTAAGGAACAATTGACATCTTGTGCTATAGTAAAATTTTGATAGGAAAAAACTACACTTCCCTCAACGAATACTTGACAGAAGACAAGTCAACATATACGCGATAGTGGTATGCCGAAAGCTAGCCGACAAACAGGTGAAACGAAGGACCTGTATGGTGTGGTGGTGAACGCATTAGTCCCCGGAAAGGGTAATAGCTTGTTCGACATCCACCCGCGGACACCTGCGGTCCGGAGTTTTGCAAATATCTCAGCATCTTAACCTTTTTATTTACTGTCTATTCTTTTTAATGGTAGGGTATGTTGCGAGAAATAACTTCAATGATGCTGAGATATTATACCTTTTTTTTATTTTCTGCCTACTATAATTTCGCAGCAGGGTACTAAGCGAAATACAACCACAACGTTGCTGAGATATTTGCAAAACTCTTGGCCGCAGGTTTCTATGGTGGGTAACGAACGCGCCATTGTCCTTTCCGGGGAATAACGCGTTCACCACCACACCATGCGGGTCCTTTCTTTCGCCTGTCTCTCAGCTATCCGGACCGCAGGTGTCCACCGTGAGGAACGAACGCGTTATCACCCTTTCCGGGAGTAACACGTTCACCACCACACCATGTGGGTCCTTCGTTTCGCCTGTTTCTCAGCTAGTTCTATCGATCACTGCCATCAGCAGTCACTCATCAACGGGATTGATCTGTTTTGAGCTTTGTAAATAACTCAGCATTATAGAAGTTACATCTCAGTATCGTTGGGGTTGTATTTCGCATACGCAACAGTTTAAAAGGAAGAAAATGCAAAATAGAAAGGAAGAAAATACCAAACGAACCTGATTCAGATGAAAACTCTCAAGTATGAAGTTTTGTTCACATGTTGACAATGGTTCATTCCGCATCTGTACAATACAGTACGTGCCAAATCAACAACCAGGACCTTCTAAAAAAGTGAGGTACTATCACGGCCGTTCACGTCCATACAGACAAAGAAAACCACAACGAATAGCATTTAAACACTTCATATACACAAAAACAAACAGTGAAAACAAACAACGTTGCGAAAAAAAAGCCGAATGACAGGTAAAACATGGGTGAATCCTTCCCATAACGAAGCCAAAACTAGGCGATGTAAAGTCAATGGTATAAAAAAGAGGGAAACAATAGATACTTCTACATTATAAGCATCATAAGTACTAAAACATACATATAAATGAGATAATAAATTAGTTACATGAAGAAATTCTTCACTTAGGTGCTGGCATCTGAGCAAGCTGAGCCTGAATCTTGGATTGGAGTGTCTCCGCTATGACGTTCCGTGTACGCTTCTTATCCAGTATAATCTTCTCGATAGTTTCAATCTAAATAACATTTATAGTAATAAATCCTCCCAGCGAAATCCTGAATAATTTTCATAGACCAATCGGTTGTCGTCGTCAAGAAAGCGAAGTTCCACCCACAAAACTCATACATTTTGCACAAAAGTTACGCTTACACAAGTTAGTGCAAAAAAAAGGGAAAAAGCTCTAGGGGTTGATCAATTCATGTGTCATGCGCCATACATTCGACTTCATTGAGCAACGTTGGAGGTGACTGAATGCATATCTTACCCCTACTTATTGACCCTTATTCGCGGTGGCCTACCGATGTATCGACTCAGCGCTGCTATCCTCCCAGATAAGTCTGGTACCAGTATGCTGATCCCGGAGAGATGGAAGGCTTGGAGAGCTCAGGGTGCCGGGGTCGATCTCATGTGTAGTGCAGGGCACCTCCGACCACTGCGCTACACGTGATTCTTACACAAGTTACTAAAAAAGAAATATAGCGAAATAATGCTAAAACATGTCCTCTACAATGTGAGTGTGGCCATGTGTCCTACAGGGCACGTTTAACTCCAGGAAACACTGTCCGCTCAGAAGTTGGAAGAAAAGCTTTGCAAATATGCGGCAAAGGACTTATGCATGTAAGACCATATATTATGCAATTAATACACCAACGTACCTGTTTAGTAATGTACTTCTTCTTGCGTTCGAAAAACTCGCCAGCTTTCTCGCGACTAACTTCAGCAAAATATCCGGTCCCCATCTCAATTAACATTCGAGATGGATCATCTACTTCGGCGCGTATGTACATCTTCAACGAAAGAGCTATTTCAAGCAGAATCATGGTTTAAATAGTCAGGTAATGGTTGTTTCCAAAATGTAACTACAACGATGCTGAGATATTTACAGAACTTAGACCCAGGGCTAGATTCGAATCTGCGACTACTGTTTCAAGCGGGTCATGTTTTACCAACTGCAAAACTGAAGCCCTTTCTTTGCCTTTCTCTCAGCCAGTTTTCAAAGTAACAGAGAGTAAATAGAAAGAAATACATTCTGAATTGAGTTTTTACATGGAAATCTAACAGCAGGGAGCTTAGGTTGGTAACTCGGCTACCCACACTCCCCGGTTTTATACACCTACAATTTTTGCGCAAATGTTTTAAGGATTTTTGGTGAAAGAATAAAACTTTTCCGAATCCGTATACGAATTCGTGGCAAACTGTATCCAGTAAAAGCTCTAACGCATGGAACAAACGGGTTTTACTACATATATTTTCTCGCCCGAATTACGATTTCAATGGGTTTATGGGACCAAAAATAACGGTTTGAAGCAATCCCAAGCTATAAACAGATGCTACGATGACTAGGAAAAAAACCGTTTACCGTTTAGAAGATGATGAAAAAACGGCATTATTCTGAGCATTACTATTCGAAACAACAACACATAAGTATGGTACATCTGACCTTAAGGGGAATTCAGAAACGCGAACTTCACACAAGGAATCAAATCACTTAAGAACAATCTCGATGAAGCAGAAAAAACAGGATCTCAAATGTTAATGGATACAAAGGAACTGCGACTACGTAACTTGAATGTAGTTTTGCAACAGAATTTTACGACTACTATTTTCGCCCTCCGAACAGTTTACGGCCTCACCGAGGCCCAGAAATGTCCCTGGGTGTCGGGCTGCCACGTAGAGCGGGGAGATTCATCCCTAAAGCGGGACCTAAGCTGAGTCCGGCGTTTCGTTTCCATCAGCAGCATCAGATAAGAGCAAACTATCAAACTAGATGCATTGCGGTAAATCTGGCTCTGATCCGCAAAGGCAGCTAGAGCCTGTAGTGGTGACGACCTGAGCGGACTTTCGCCAGGATTACCTCGGGACTTCCGCGAAACGCAATGGCTAAACCATCAAATCTTTGGAGAATAGAAATTGTACCGCGGCCCGCACAACAAGTGAAGATGGGCCGTCCAAGTATCCAAGTAAGTGAGTATTTTCGGTCTTAATATTTCGCCAAGATGGTGCACTAAAGAAGAACTAATCAATAAAAAGAAGAACCAACCCGAACTTGTGATGGAAAATGAAATGCAAAAATAATGACAGAAATGAAGATAAATACTTACCGATTCGGAAAGGGGAACAAGCGCCGTATGACCAGGTTTTGCGGCTTTCAACACATCCATTGACAGAATACTTTGTTCAGTTTTCTGGATCAAAACCTAAACAACATCACCCAAATACGAAGGAGAAAGAATGAGGAAAAGCCGAATAGAAACAGAAACTTCAAGAACAAGAACCACTAACTTTCAACTGACTTGCCGATTCTTGGAAGAAATTCAATTCCTGCTCGACTTGTGTCCTCAACGCGTTGATTTGTTCGATTCCCAGCTCTGCTACTGGTACTCCCGACGACTTCGCATCAGCGCTCTCGCCCATATCTGTACAGGATCAACGGTTAAGGGCTTCATACTTGCTATCAAAACGATTCAAACGTACAACCAAAACAAACACCACCAAAGTCCCGTACATCGCAGAACAGTCGTATCCTTTCAAAACTGATGCTATCGTACAACACTTCAGTAACAGAAACACTTACTTTTTAAGAGAGTTAAGTGAGATGGGGCAATGGAAAACATTACCCATGAAATCAGAGAGGGAATTCCTATATAGTGCTACCTATCACAAAGATATGCATATAAACAAATATACAAACGTATACGTATATACATGCACACATATATACTCATATACATACATATGCACATACATATATGTAATGTACATCCATACTTCCTGCTTTTAGTGGAACCGTTCAAGAATTAAACACAGAACAATGTACTGCAGATGACACACGCTATTAGACGTTACAAAATTAGGACCCTGCATTCGTCCATATTGGTTGCTTTTTTTTTGTCCGTGCCTATTTTTATAGCTTAGCTATTAGAGGGTTGGAGGCAAAATATTTAGTTAGGTAGGGCAGGGTGACTTCAGATCCTGAAGAAGACAAAATTTTCTGGAATGTCAACTAGAGTGAACATTTCGTGGAAAGCTCATACTGTTCAAAACAGTAATATAGAGATCATTACTTAGATGGATACTTGAATGGCCGGTCTTTACTGGTTGTGTGGGCCACAGCATAAATTCCACTTTTTCGGAATTTACGTGGCTTGGCCATTGTGGTTTCCCGGAGCCACAAGGTCAACCAGGCCAAGGTCTGCCTCATGTCGTTATCACCACAGGTAGTTGCCGCCTTTGTGGATCAGAGGGAAATTTGCCACCATGCGAGTAGTTTGGTACCACGACGGTGGTGAATCTTGGCATTGGTTTACTCTTAGCTGGGGTTCCTCACGGAAGCCGCGGACTCATTTTCAGCTTGGAAGATGCGGCCAAGGGGATGAATCCCCGCGTTATATAGCAACCCGACATCTAGGAATGCCTCTTAGCCACGATAAGGCGATAAACCGTTTGCAGGAACCTAGAGATAGGTATTTCAAAAATCGACTTTCTTTTAACTTCAGTATGACTAATCAACATCTCGTCTTTCAATGATAAGCTAACACGAGGTTCATAAAAAGGATTGTCCGGCTGACGTCTCGGTGCCTTCTTCTTCATCAGAACCGGATTGATTCGAATTGATTGTCCACAATTCTTCCTTCTTCCGTTACGGATCTCCATGAAGTCATTGAGTTGAATTCTGTGGAGCACCGCTCAGATGAAGAACCTCACTCTGAAGTGCTCTTTTATCACCTCTACCACCTGTTGCCCTGTTATTCGTCGAATGACTCGAGCGGGCGCCAGTAAATCTCCCATTTTATCCTGTCGCGTGCAGGAGTAGCGCAGTGGGTTCTGCTCGCTCTAGGGACTCATCGAGCATCATATCTCTATTCTAGGCTCTTCGTGAAGAACTCTGACCATCGGGTCGGTGGCCTTCCTGCAGTACGTTTGACATCCTGAGGAATCCAGTCACTAACGGCTCCTGTCCATCGGTTATCATTCATACGAATTACGTGTCCGTCCCACCTTATCTTCTATTTGATCGTTTACGCAGATCGGAGCTTCGGATCTCATCCCTTTGTTGCGTGACACGCGTTACTCCTAGCATCGTCCTTTCGACTGCGCGTTAGATAACGCTGAGTGATCTTTCAATCCTGCTTAAGCAGCGACCAGGTTTCTGAAGCATTCATTAGGGCAGGAAGTACCGTTGAGTCGAAAAGGTGGGCACGGAGTCGGGTGTTCTTTGTCCTCTTCACTACATCCTGGATGCTCTTGAAAGCTCCTTAAGCCGCTCGTTTCCTTCTGCTCAACTCTGGAGTTAAGTCGTTCAACATGTTCATTTCCCAACCTAGATAGATATAACTGGAGCATACGGAGATGTTCGTTCCGTTGAGCGTGAATGGGGCATACGAAACCAATCCGTTCTTCATGAACATCGTTTTTGTGAGATTTAGTCGAAGACCCATCTTTCCACAGGCTTTATCAAAGTCGGTAAGCATATATTCCGCTTGGCTGATGGTTGGTGTTATAAGGACTATGTCAGCAACGAAGAGGGGATAGTGTAAATGCCGAAATGTTCTTATGAAGTTCTTATTCACGCATTGACTGTCCAGGACTTTCATGACTTCTTCTTCTTCTCTTTCAGCTGAGTCAAATGCTTTACTTGAATTGATGAAGGTGAGATAGAGCGATCTTTTATGCTGTCGTGATACTCCAGTGAGTCGTGTTTTCTTGTGGATGTTATCCATCGTGCTGAATGCTTTTCGAAACCTTTCTTGCTCACTTGACTGTACTTCGTCCAGCGTTCTGTCAATCCTGTTTAGAATGACGCGAGTGGAAGGTTTGTAGACGAAAGAGAGCAAGCAGATTAGGCGGTAGTTGCCATTATCGTGTTGGTCACCCTTCTTGAACAGTAACACAGCCTTGCTGGTGTATATTTGAATAGGAACTGTCCATTCTGATAGGTGACATGTGAAGAGTCGTGCCGGTGAGTTGATGAGAACTGCAAGGTGTTTACCTGTTATTCTGTCGGGTCCAAATGTTGTTCTATTCTTCGTCGACGAAGCAGCGTATCGGACCTCGGATGGGAGAACAGGTGGTATGATATATCCATTCTCCTTCATTTAATATGACGGAAGGGGAACGTGGCTATTGAAGAGATCTGAATAGTATTTGTAAATGACTTTCTCCATTGCCTTTCTGGACTCTGTAACAGTTCCGTTTGGGCGTCGGAGTACAACCACCTTGATCTAGTAATTGGTGAAGCTTCAGTTTTGCGAATGCTTTTTCCAATCTTTGCAGCTTCGACCATAACTACTACTACTCCCACTTTAAGATCTTCTTTTACCACCTATCTGTATCTGCGTTGTTTTGCAAGCTCGGACGTCACTTGGCGGTTGTCTGCGTGCTATTCCTCGCTGATGTATCACCTCGAGTGTTTCTAGAGACAAACCTCTCTTAGAAACTTTCGAATTGTCACCATTCATAGCGCTAACGTGGAGGTAGGCCCGTGTGGCGCATTTATCGGAGGCGCCCTGCAACGCGCATGGGATCTATCCCTGCTTCCCTGGCCCACCAAGCCCTTCTTCACTCCGGGGTCGGCAAATTGGCACCAGACTTGTCTGGGAGGATAACAGCACTGGCTCGATACATCGGTAGGCCACTGCGAGTTATTGTAAAGGCCAGATATGCGTTCAATCACCTCTAAACGGTGCTTAACGAAATAGACTGTTTACCGCGTCCCTCAGAGAAAGATCAACGTCGAGAGTTTTTTAAACGTGAAGGTGTTGAATGAGCCAACCGTATTCCTCATCGATGTTATCGACAACGTCTTCCCAACAGCGGACCAATGAGTCGAATAACTCTCAATTTATAGTGGTTCTGGAACTTCGGTTTTTCAATTTAGCGGCTTTTTCACCCTTCCGCGAAAAATAGAATCTAGCACGGAGGAGAAGGTGGTTTGATCCCGTGTAGAATTTTCAACAGCGACATCGATAAGGCAAAACCTTCGGTTTAATGTGATGTGCTCTATTCCGTTACAGTAGTCTCCATTGGAGAGACTTGAAATCTCCAATGATAACCTTGAAGAATGCATGGTTTTCTCTGTAGAACTTCTCCAAGTCAATATAGAACGCTTCGACTTCTTCTTCGTCATAGTTTGACACCTAAACGGCGAAGATTGTGAAAGCCGGCATTGATCCCCATCTCTTTAATCGTAAACGTGCGATTCGGGTTGTTAGTTGTTCGAATGAATGAAGTTGTTCATGGACAAACTCGTGTTCGAAGAAAACATCGATCCCCTCGACTCCTCTACTATCTCATGTTCCGAGGAACACTTCTTCTACGATGTCATAGAAGGTGTTAAATGGGTGGCGTTGTCTCGTCTCGGCCAGGTCGATAACGTCGTACTTTATCCTTCCTGCTTGCATGATCAAGTCTATCGAGGGCTCGGATGCAAGTGTATGTGCATTATAGTTAGAGATCGTCACCTTAGTTCTTTGCAGTTTAGGCAGATTAAAATGGCTCTGAGATTTTGGCACCCTCTCCTTACTTGTCCCACCCAACTTTGCCCAATTGGGAGCTCTTTGTAGGTCAGAGGAATGAAGCCCGTTTCTTTTGCTGTGTTGAGCTTTCGTGTACCCACGTATAGCTTGCTGGGCTCTGTACGTGGGGGCTGGGTGTACTCACGTGTAGTTCGCCAGTCTCTCCCAGAGTGGATATGGAGCTTATTTGTTATAAACGACTCCTAGCCGCCTCCCACACACCTCCCTGGCGCTTGATTGCGAGTTTTTGGCCGAATTGACTGACTCGTAGAATGCAATTCGCATAAACGAGGACACACCCACGCACGCATGCATGAATGCGGCCTCGTAACTACAGAATTATGAGCCATATAGGCACAGTAGAAACAGAGAGTCCACTCGCCGGGATCCATCTTCGTTTCAGGGAGCCAAAGGCGGCTTTTGATCAGCGATAAACCCGCTATCCGCCACCTGGAGACGCGCACCTCGCCTCGCGACTAACCTCCATGAGATCCCTCTGTGAAGGAGAGCTATGATTTGTTTTATATAGCGCGGTTATTGTTCACGTTGATTGTCCATTGATAATAACTTGTTTTTCTCCCGGCCGTATATAAACGGTGGAAATGACGTGTGATCCAGTTTCAATGCTTTCATTAGTATGTGAGAAGTGACTGGCCTATTTAATCGACCCAACTATAGTCCTCATTGTTGACGTTGTACTAATGGTGAGTGATTGTCTTGTTAAGAACACTTCTTCTTAAATTACGGTATAGGAGAGACCACCTACAACAAGCCAAATCTAGGCGTAGCTGTGAACGATCTCACGAAATCTCGTCAAGAGCGATGTCACCTAGCAATTTTCAGAGTTTTCCTTCCAATTATATTTCAGAATGCGCCTCTTTGGTCTCCTCTAACTCTTGTTCAAAAAGCATAACTGATTTGAAGGAGTGCGTAGCGCAGTGGTCGGAGATGCTTTCTAATGGGAACATGATGATAGGTTAAATGTTAGTAAAATCATTCAATTGTATTTCTAGGGCCATGAATGTGTATGAGGATTTCTTTCACTACTTTTTTTCAGTCACGTTCAAATGAAGATGACTTAGAAAAAGGACACACTGAGTGAAGTCGAAGACGATCAGTGCCAATGAAAAAACAAGACAAAGAAAAAATTGAAGAAGACTAAAGTCGTGAAGAAAGCCGTTGAAGGAGTGGAGAAGTCAGTGCCGATACGAAGGAACGAACGTGACGAAGGATGATATCTGAGGTCTTTCCAAGAGATGACGTCATTTAGATATACAGAAAACGCTCAACGTGCGAGTATAATGCACAATTTTATGTTTAGAAAGGAGATATGTTGGTTAATGCGGGCGTTTCTCAATAGATGGAAATTTCTCAAGGAGGTTCTCCTTTTTACTAAAGGACCATCTAGCACTAAGTTTCGTGGCCGAAGAACATCTGGTTATCCAGAATATCAAGAATATTTATCGACAAATATTGATTGAAAGTGGCTCTCTTCTAAATTTTAACCTAAATGTCGGTTACTATTTGTGTGAAGTTGAACAGTTTCTATTAGTTAAGAAGATTACAAAATTCGCCTCGATTTCTGCACCAATCCAAACGAGAGAGAGGAAGATGTAGAGTGAAATATTTAGCTAAGACACGGTTAACCACTTTTATTCAACAAGCAGTTTTACTCCCTTCGGTCGATATATACCTCATCGATATATATAGCTTCATTCATAAGGATTCGGTCTGCAGGTCTGCCAATTTCTTCAAATGTACAGGATCGAGCTTCCTAAGGATCTGTTTGCAAACCAAGAACATCTTTGAGCAGATGGAACAATATGTGTGTTGCTGTGGAACTTGTTCCTCGCCTATTTCCTGCGGTGTTCTCCGTAGGTGGAATCAGGTGTTCACGTTATTAAAAAGCGGTTTTTCCTTTTCCTGGAACTTATCACCGTGTATGCATGATTAGCAGGTGGTCAGAGTTTGCGAACCGAAGTCAGAAACTAATGGAATCGACGCGCTGATTCTAGGACTATCCCTTTTCACCTAAGTAAACGGAAAGAAATGATAACATTCAGAGTCGATCAAACCTCCATGTATGTGTTTGGTGTTTATCTACCGATGTACCCAATCACCATTGGTATCTTCCGAGAGAAGTCTAGCAATAATTTACCGACCTAGGAGTGAAGGCAAGCTCAGTTGGTCTGGATAAAGGACAGTAGATTTGTTTTTTTTCTAATTTTTTTTAAACAGTTTTCGACAGTTTTCGCATTTACTGTCTGGGTTCCAGCACTTCTAATATTCGATTCATTATTCCGCCTCAGTCATAGACTAAAGACTTCGAACTTTTACGTGTGGCTTCGGTTGTTTGTTGATGATTTTCATTTCACCCTGAATGTCGTGGAATGCTGGAGTGCTGAGATGGCGACACTACAGCGTTCCCATTACAGTGATTATTTCCCGGACTAGTCCCGTACCTACTTCCTTACTCGGATGGATGAGAGGCTTCGTGATCCAAGAGAGGGATCGAACGAGTTTCGTGTTCGTGATAATCGGCATTATTACCACCGTGCTATCAGCCACTTTTTGGTCATGGTCGGGTGCAGATTAGTTGACTCCTGAAACCTTAAGGTAACCAAAGTAACCAACCTCTCTGTCAATTCACTGGTGTTAAATCCGAACATATTTTATCTATTTATATTCTATTTGTTCATATGATGCGGCTCCACATACCGTGCGGTTCCTGGCAATTCTTTCATCTGATTCCGTTCCACGCATCCACCACCCAGTCGTCGAACTTTTGAATTAGGTTGATGGGTTTGGCTTGCGTTTGAAGACTTTTCTTCACGAATATCGTTGAACGGTAGTCGAATCTTCCTGGAATCCAGGAATTACTCTACTAAAACGTTTCCACGTCTTCATCACAACTAGTCGCCAGCTTTTGTGGATCAAAAGAAACCTTCTCCGAACAAATCTAGTAGTGCTTTGCTATTAATATGATATTACAATCAATATTTCATTGCTAATATAATCTCTGATGTTGTTAACAGTGGAACAGATAGCCCAGTAGTAGTGATGTCACTCATCACGAGCACGGTGCTGGTTTGATTCCGCACCGGGCCAACCAAGCCTCTCATCCCTCCAGGGTAGCGAAATTGGCACCGGATGTTCGGGAAAAAAGTCACTCTGCAGTCTAAATGGGAACACTCTACCCCGTCTTTGTCAGGACTTCAGGGAGAATCGATCGGGCCAACATTTGGCGACATTCAAGATTAAATAAGAAATCCTTAAGCAGCAACCAAAGGCATACGTAAAAGTTGGAAGACCTTCGTGGATGATGGATGCGGGAAACGAACCGGATATAGGAAGTGCTGAGATCATCACAGCAAGCGAGAAGATTGTTTTATATAATGGAATAAAACAATTAATAAAATTCAGCTTCACTAAGCACTGTTAGATGTGATTTAGTGCCTATTTAGTCTATACAATGAACTGTGAGTGTCGACCAAGGCATCAGGTCAGTAATAATAGGTCAGTAATAATGGAAATCAGTTTTCAAGATACCAGGTCCGTGTTTCAATCTTACCAGAGAAATC